TCTGGGAGTTGAAGTCCACTCATCTTAAAGTGGTCAAGTTTGGACAACACTGCTCTAGAGCAACTCGTGGCTATTGTCAACAGGCAAGTAGTTGCTGACCCCCCAGCAGTGACAAAAACAGCCAGACAGCAGTCACTTGGGGAACATTGGCAAGTATTGGTAAGTAAAGGAAAATCAGAGCATCTTTTCCATTCGTTCCCCTGCATAAACCTGGAAGGGATCATTGCAGGTAGATTTTCATCTACGAATAAATTATTTTACAAATCTGTTCATCTTAAGAATACTCTACTCATTTTTGTGCCTAAAACACTATCCTTTGTATATACAGCACAAGATCTAGAGTTGCCAATGTAGGAATATGCATCTGGCCATTGTGATCATAATGTGGATTACGAAGCCACTTCTAAAGTTGCAGAAACTGTAGAAGTATTGTCTCCTGAATTTATAGGTGTAGGGTCATCAGCTCACTGAATCAGTATAGGGTCAAAAAAGTCAAGATGGCAGCTGTGTGATCAGCACCCTGCTCATCACTTGTGTGTACTGCATGGAGTATAGGTGAAAAAAGGTTGGACCTTCAATAGCATGATCACAGCTGCCATCTAACTTTTTTGACACACACACATGCACACATACACACACACATGCCCCTGGATGCCTCTGCTCAGGCTCCTCCTAAATTGAAGTGCAGTTTTTGAACTTGCCCTCAGAGTCATTTAAAAAGCCAAACCACAGCTCCTGGGTGCATAAAAAAAATTGTCAGCCTTACATGGTAGACCAGATAGGAAACATGACCAGATGAGCTAATTCTATTTTATTGTATGGTTACAAAGTACTTCTCTCTCCCATCCCCTTTACAGCTCGAAAACTAGGGAGAGTCTCTTCTGAACGTCTTGCCCTGCCCACATTCCTACCACAGGCCTTTTATCCGACTTGGTTGAGTCTCATTGCCCGGTCTCCCATGGTAATTCCCATATTCCCACAATTATAAGATTGCCTATCCCAAGACTAATCATAATATTAATTATGTGGTTTTTATGTGTATGTGTGTTGCTGACGACTATCTGGACAAGTCCAAGCAATTTAAAGTGGTTTGCCATTGCATTCTTCCAAGGGCTGATAGTAACTGGCTTAAAGTCACCCAGCCAGCTTTGTGTGTAAGGCAAGATTAGAACTCACGGTCTCCCACTTTCTACCCTCATGCCTTAAACTACTACACCAGACTGGCTCTCATGGTTTTTTAGAATTTTTAAAAAAGGCAATGAATCTAAGAACTTAAATGTTGTTCTACAGCACTCTATGGATGTAAATAAAGATGCAGCTCCTCCTGCTGTTCGCTGCTCGGAGGAACGTCTGTCTGAAGGAGGAGTATTCCTACTGGCAAATTCTCTACACATGTTTCTGTGGCTCGGAGTCAGTGCCCCACCAGAACTTGTCCAAGGGATATTTAATGTGCCTTCCTTTGCACATGTCAGCACTGAGGCTGTGAGTATAGTATTATGTATTTCAGTATTTGATACTTCGTTTCCAAGCTGACTATGATGCAAATGTCAGATGACATGACATGAACAATGCAACCTTGAAATCACTGCTCCCTTTATAAAATTGAGAACACAGATGTGTAGAAACAAGCACAGAAAAAGCAGGTAGGTTTCTGCAGCTACAAGATTTCTCAAGTCTACAGGAACATACTGATTTCCCAAATAGTGCCTCTACCATCTTCTCCCTGAAACCAGCCAGAATTGCAGAGATATATCGCCAGTGGTACCTCTAGTTACGAACTTAATCCGTTCCGTGACTCTGGTTGCAACTCGAGTTGG